GAGAGAGAGAGAGAGAGAGAGAGAGAGAGAGAGAGAGAGAGAGAGAGAGAGAGAGAGAGAGGGATTATTTGGGACTCGTAACGAGACTTGGTGTTGACGACTTTCCCATCTCCCCCTTCCTCTTCGTCTGATCCCCTCCTCTTTGTCTGTGTATGTCTGGACCTGGCGCTTCTTCCCTGTGTATAGCACCAGGCTCCCTTCACATCTCCTGATGAGCATGATGTATGTTTGGTCTGCGTTGAAACATTGATTGGGCTAGTCATTAGTATTCTAGCATTCTGCTTCGCTATCTTGTACTACGTGACAGAGGTCAGTCTCGGTCAGGTCAGGTCTTGTGTCTAAGTCTTCCCTGCGCTATAAAGCACCGTTTTGTATGTATCGGAATGCACATTGCTTGTTGAGATTCTACTTGCACTGCATTGTCCATTCGGTCCTTTTTATCACATTGCGGATCCTCGGTTTTGTATGTGCATCGCCCAACTGGGCATGTAACAGGCACCCAGACTTGGCAAACAGAGCAAATCAGACCGACGTCGGAAATAATCAGATAAGTAACTTATGAGATTATCAGAGAGCATTTTCCGAGAATGGTGCAGATCTCTCAGACTGCAACTTTGTGGGTCGTTGCACTCCCTCTGGCCCAAATTAGTGGTAACTTTGGAGCTACAACAGACAGTAAGCTTCATATGGATGGAAAGCGGACAATGCAATGACGCTCAAGTGCAGTTTATTGGCAAGATGCTGCATCAGCGATTGTACGTTCGCAGGCATTCATGACACAAGTTGTCGTCTTCTGCAGTTCATAGGAAAATCAAGTGCTTATCATCAAAGAGGATGATACAAAAAGTTCATTTGATGTTTGCGAAAACGGCAGCGTTTTCCCCAGAAAAGTGCACATTTCTCTGACAGCAACTTTGTGATCCCCCACTTGGCCGGCCTATTGTATGGCTGCGGCTTGGCCCTTCGAGACACATTATTTATCTTTCAGACTTTCACACGTTGACCCCTCTTAGCAAGCACCTCCATTTCCTGCCTCACAATGTTGTAGGCACTGTACCATGAACTTTGAACCTGAATCTTCACCCTAGCCATAGCTTTGGCCTACATTTGTCTGTCTGCCTCAGTCAGTCCATGTCTGCAAGTTTCTTTTATAGATTTGTTCTTCCTCAGAGAAGAAAATACAGGGGTAAGGAGAGAATTTGGGATGAAACATACTTCACTGCCCCTTACCCACGTCCTTCATTGCAAGCCTGCACTCACATGAAGCCTGAAGGAAACACTATCTTATACTGGGTGCTCTCAGTATAGACTATGTGAAATCCGGCGGATGCAGTACTCTGATACAGGCAAGGTGTGTGTGTGTGTGTGTGTGTGGCGAGGAGGAGGCCGGGAGTTGGGGGGGGGGAAGGGGAGGGGGGAGGCATATGATACTGTCTGATGCTGCCCTGCATTGAGCACACTTACTTCATTCAGGCCAAGCCATCTGTTCCCTTAATGCCTGAAGGCAGTCGTAATCCGTACTGTTATACTATTGTTTCCCCTGTTTTCTTCCCCCCACTACTTTTCTATTCCCCCTGCATTCAGCTGAAGCTATGAAAGAATGCTATATTCTTGTTGTTTTATACATGTCGCTCATGTGAAATCTGGGGAATACAGACCATTGAGGGCATACTCACACCAGCACTATCTTTAATGCGTCTGACCACATTTATGGCCAGACCTGGTGTTTGTGGTAAAAAATACATTTAAAAAAAAGTAAAAAAGTCATAATGCGAGTATGCCCTGAAACGTGCCAAGTGAGGGGGAGGTCAGACAACACACGATATTTCTCATGCTGCCCTCTTTTCTGGGAACTTGCAAGCCACCTCTTCCCTGAATGTCCAAAGCTACCGTTTTCACCCGAATAGAATGCCCGGTCATAATCGCTGCATCTGGACTGAAAGTTGCCGCAAATCCAGCTACAGTGGCCGGGCGTTCTATTCGGGCGAAGATGAAGTCCTAGAGAAGGCCAGCCAAAAAAAAAAAAAAAAAAAACAAAAAAAAACTGTTGTACCATCTGATTTCTGGATTGAACAGGCAGTCACCTCTATCCTTAGTTTCCACTGTTCCGCTTCCGTTCCTGGCAGTTTGTGATTGCCAGGTGCTCACAGCTCTTTCCTTTTCCGTCCTCCCCCCCTCTCCCCCTTTTTTTGCCCCCTCACTTTTTGCTCACAGGTACATGGAAGTGGCGAAGGGCTTCACAGTTCCGTGGACACACCTGCTTGTCATCATCACCCACAAATTATTAGTGCATTTTCTATTAGACACGAATGCATGAACGGTGAGGATCTTTGCAAGCTTCTTATTTATCCTCTTGGCTGTGGAACATGCAGTTCTGAAAAAAAAACAAAAAAAAACTTACGGTGTGAAGCTGTGTGCCATGACTTACATAAATTGGCCATTTTTCATGAGGTGTTGTTTTTCAGTTATGTGAAGGCGAGGTGCTGTGCTGTTTTCCAGTTACGGGAAGGCGAAAAGGGGCAATGGGGGCCAAGTGGGAGAGGAGGAGGGGGTTGTCGATGAAGGGTTCTGGCGAGTGGAACTCCACGACGGGTGTCTAACTGAGGCTTTCATGTCTGGGATGTTCTTCGGTACTTGTTTCTTTCTTTTGGAATTGTGTTTGTTTGTTGCCTCTTCTCCTGTCTGGGACTGGATGCCTGCCTTGCATTCTGCAGGTACAGGGGATGCATAATCCACAGATGTGGGTTCGCCATCCAACTCTATGGCAGGAGATCACGCGGATAAGAAAAGAAGAAGGTATCCGTGCGTTTTGGAAAGGAAATACGGTGACAATTGTACACAGGCTTCCATACTCCTCGCTGAACTTCTACGCTTATGAGAAATACAAAGCGGTGAGTGACAGTGAGTGCAGGAGGAAAAGGGCTGTAATGTACCGAACGGAAACTCGTTCCAAAAGTTGAACTCAATTCAAATGACTGTGTCATCTGCCGAAGAAGAGAATTGAAAAGATCCTCAGGGACCCTTCGACCAGACGGAAGGGGGCGTGTGTGTGTGTGCGATGATGTAATCCTGTTGTTTTGACTTGCCGGGGGAATAGGAACCGGACTGACGCTGCCCAGAATGGATATGGAGCCAGAACCGTAAGGACCTGTTTAACAAAAAGAAAAAGAAAAAGAAGAAAAAGCATCTCCACATCTTCCTGCAACAGCCACAACCATTTCATTCTCTGAAACAATCTTTCCTTTACCCCATGGAAACACCGTGGACCAACGTGAGGATGACTGACTTTTGAGTGTGCGCTCTCTGCTCTGCGAGCAGTCATGTTGCTGTTGTGGACACAGGTTTTAAAAGCAGCCATGCCTGTGTCTGGATAAATGGTAACACTCCTTCTTTCTCCACCCCTTTCCTTGTGAAGACTTGTTAGGCCATGGTGTACAGAATGCCTGATGGGATCTTACATGGTTACAGTCTCCTCCCAAAGTACAATGGGTGCATGTTGTATTCAGCTTTCTTCAAAGGAGATGTGTAGCTCTTCTTCTTCTTCTTCTTCTGTGACAAAAGCTCCTGTGTATTGGTTGGGAGCGCCACCTGCTGGGAATTGGGCCGAGCATCCCTTGAAAAAGCCATCTGGAGCTGTTTTTGTGGGCACAACTGGCGGGCAGAATGTGTAGCTGTTATATTGAAGCAATATATGTATGCCCGTATTCAAATGTCGGGCAGCGGAAAGCTTTGTTACGATAGAGTACCATGTTAATGGAGTGAGAAAGGAGAAAGGAAACAAAAGAGAAAACACAATGGGGGAAAAAAGCAGAAAAGGGAAACAATAATGATGTTCTTCATGTTCTTTCGTGGAACTGCGGCAAAAAAGAAAAAGAAAATGAAGGGGGAGTGGGGAAACATGGGACCTATTCTACCTGAATAGGGCATGAGGTAGCCGTTTTTCGGATGATAATCCCTAGGAGATGAGTTGGGGGCACCTCTGCGTAGGATGGTGATGTGGGTTCCTTTCTGTTCCCGGTTTGAAATCATCATTGTTTTTCTTTGTTGTATTGCGCAGCATCTGTGAAGTGGTTTGGGGGTTTGCCATAGCCCCTGACCAATGAAAGGAGGAAAAGAAAGAAAGAAAGGATTCTTGTTGTTGCCTTTCTGCACCACTTCATGTCTGTATGTGGATGTAGTACAGAGAGAGACATTGGCTGTGCTGGCCATGTTTTCTTGTTGTCAGGCTGGCCATGGCCCGGCTTTTGATATTATTCGAAGGGAAAAAAGAGGAACGATACCAACAGCACACGAATCGCACACTCAATCGAACACACATGAAACGCACATGAGAAGTGAACCCAAAAGTTAGTCTCTGCATTGTCTGCAAGTCAACTCAAGTACACAAAATTGTCTTTGTACATGCTGGACGGTTATGGCGGCCAGCCAGCAACATCACACAGGTATGGTCGCTCTCTCGCTCCTCTCTCTCCCTCTCGCTCTCTCCCTCTACCGTACACTAGGCCTCTCGATCTTCTCTGAATACCTCTCGCTTCTCTCCTATCCCTAACTACAGCTATGGGCGCCATGCACCATTGACTGCTTCCTGCTGCAGCGAAGAACCACACATCGCACAATATCACAGGACACGCGAGTGACTATGTGATGACGACCTCAACTAGAAAACACGCTTGGAGTCCGGACATTTGCGTGCGGCGCTTGGATTCCGGACTTCCTCTTCAGGTACAGGACCATATCCTTGACCGATGTTGTCGCTTCCGCAAGTTCCCTGGCTTTCCTGGGACTTTGCTGCTGACTAGGACCGACTGACAGATAGGCCTACTGACTTCTACGGTTCTACCGACTTTTCCTAGGCCCAATGGTACCTACCAGAATCTCCCTACCTGGGTTATGGGAGTATGGTACATGGAGCTGGGAATGGGACTGAGACTGGAACTGCCGGGCAGGCGGCGGTGAATTCCTTGCACTCCCGCTGGCCAAGGTTCGAGGTCCACCGAGAAAGGCTGTAACTTGCTTTTGCCAGTCTACAGCTTCTTGGAGTCGGCTTATAGTGAGATACTATTTGGGGGGTATTTACTCCGAGCTCATCTCTCAGGAACCATCTGTCCTTCTTTGGGCGCCGATACCGGTACCTTCTCCTGCTTCTGTGGGGTCTTCCCCTTCCTGATCCGTGCTTTTACGTTAAAGTGCCTTCCTAGGAGGTACTGCCTCCATGTCTTCAGGGCCTCATATAATGCATGCTGTTCTCGTTTGTAGGTAGTGCTGCTACTTACTCTGAGGGTATGCACGTAATTTAAATTCTACGGGGCAGTATCCGTTTCCATTGTCTTGCTGTAACACAGCCCCTATTGCATACTAACTTGCATCTGTTCTAAGTACGAAATGTAAGGATGGGTCTGCAATCTTCAACACCAGATATGCTATCAACGTCTTCTTCAGCTTGTAGATGGATGATATATAGTCTTTGTCCCACTCCCGCACTGCCCTGTTCTTCAACAACCTGCGCAGTGGGCTTGTGTCGTCGTTCCCTCCCCAACATGGCCACAAAAATGAAAAAAAAAATTGCAGCAAAAAGAAAAAACTTGGGTCTCTCTTGCGACCAAATTTCTCCCAGGGCTCTCTCTCACATCCGTACAAAGACCATCATTTCCGAGACCCGCTGTTCACTTTATAGAGTCTATGGATACAACAATAGGAGTCTAAATGTTCTCCAGAGGCTCCTTACTTCTCCTCCAGAAATCTTCAATCATATACTATGTCACATCAACAACCTTTGCTATGGTGGAATCCTCTCCACTCCAACAGTCGTCTCTCCAGCCTCTCCGAATGTCCAATGCTAAATCAATCTATTCTGCCTCTTGCCAGTTCCCCAGAGGTTCTGCGGCAGAGGAATCTCTTTGATTGAAGAATACCAGCCCCTTGTAGCCTTGGAATCTTTTTGTCAATGTGTCTATAACAGGTAAGCTTTCTGCACCCTCACTGCGTCTATAACAGGTGGGCCGGGAGTTGACAACTCCCTAAGCAGTGGAGCATAATCATGGAAATGCCCTGCACGACTGCATTTTCCACGACTTTTTGAGGATTTTATTTTTTCCTGATCTCTCTGGTCTGGCCGCTGCTAGCGTTTGAGCATTTTCCTAATCTCCGTGGTCTGGCCGCTGCAAAGGTCTGCCTGTATTCTTATCATTGTTGACTTTATTATGTCTCTAACTTCCTCCCAATTGCCCTGCAACTTCAGGCTGTTTTTGCCTGCTCAGAGCCAGAAGCTGCTAATTGTAGTGTTAGAGTCTCTTAGGGGCATTCGCTATAGAGGTCGCACAGGTTGCAATGAGGAACGGAAACTCAAGCTGCAGTCAATCCTCCCCAGGTTTGTGCAGCATTGCACATGGACTTGGCGGCGACTATGTGCCGTTTATTTCTGCCTTTGACCATCGGAAAGTGCGGGGTAATTACATCATGGTTCACACCATGATTCATGGGGATGATTTTACCTACATCATGGTTCACACTATGATTCATGGGGATGATTTTACCTAAAATGACACAGACCTCCTATCTGAGGAGAATGCTGTCATGCCACTATATGGATCACTTGTCCACCACTATGGCAGAGTCGGGGGATTCTGTGTCCATCCCTTTTGTGTCAAAACAGATGCAGTTCCTCTGAGATATAAACACCATTGTCTGTGGGAGTGGGACCCACTAGAATGAAATGGCTTTGAGCTGTGAAGCCATATGTGCAGAGAACTGCTCCTTCTTGGCGCATGGATACTTTGGACGGTGAAGCTGCTCTACGTTTATTGGTGAATATTGCACCTGAAATGACCATACTTGCATACACACGGACATGCATCCACACATGGAGAATGAGCACACATGTACGTCTGCATGCTGCGCATGTACACGGATTATTGACCATACTTGCGTGCACACGTACATGCATCCACACATGTACATGTGCATGCCGCACTGTGAGGTGCAGTGCACATGAGCTAGGTGTGGCACGCTTTTTAATTTGAAAAAAAACAAAGAATCAATTTTGACTTTTATAAATTCGGGACATCTTTTAAATATGGAATGGGACGGAGAGGATCAGAATGGCCACTGTGCAAGGATGACACAAAAAAAAGCAAGAAAAGAAAAAAAAATTAATACGGGACATGATGGACATCCGTTAAAATTGGAACGATACAAGAGAAGATTAGCATGGCCCCTGCACAAGGATGACACACATAAATTGAGAAATAGTCCAAATTGAAAAAAAAAAGAAGGTGCTCAGTGGGGAGGCCCCACTAGCTAGTAGTTTGGGTTAGTGCGACTGGTGGGTGGTAAGTGTGGGACTGGTGGGGGACTGTGTTCCGCAAAAGGAGAAAACCGAAAGAAAGGCTGATGCATTCTTTCTGTCTTTGGTGCTTTCCAATGTGTGTTAGAGCAGAGGCAATGATGCTCTGATGGCGTGCGTGGTGTCAACTGTAACTGTATTCTGAGGGTGGCATTTCCGTTTGTGTGTCTCATTGCTCGTTCCCCACATATATGCGGACTCTGGGACCGCACGTCCAGTGTGACCAGACATTGGCCATGCATCAGGCCTATTACTTCGTCCGTATTCATGTGTGTGGATTGCCAAGTACAGTGGTGCTGAATATTGGCACACCCGCCCATAACGGTCCGTGATGTTTTTGTTGCCAAACAAGGGTTGCCTTGACATCTCCTCCCACCTATTGGGCAGCACTTTATCCAGTAGCGGGAGTTGGCGCCATGCATGTAGAGCCCTTACCCAGAAGTCATCCCATGTCAAATCTCTCCTTAACAGTATTCGGCTGCTTGCCCCTTTTGCTGCAGCATGTCTCGGGATAGTCCAATAGCGGCCTTCTAGCCAGGTCAAGGGGTC